GCCTCTTGGCCTGAATTCGACTAGGATTAAGTCAGTATTTACTTGTGTTTCGTAGACCTATTCACAGATTCTCTAAACATAACCCTGCCTTTGATGATGGAAAAACTAGGACATGGTAATAATGATAAACACAACAGTACCAGATATTAACATTCCCACATAAAGGTTGAAGCAGGTTATTTAAACATCAATGCCATCCTGTTTCCTATTAAACTGTCTTTAAAGGGGACTGCCTTTGATTTCTTAGCTGCAGTAAAGTACGTGCTTAGGATTTATTAAAGGGCCTTTGACTAGCACTAATATGAATGAAATGAAGAGCCCAGATTGTGTTAAACTTTGACGTTGTAAATTTTCCAATATTTTGGCTGACTGACTCAGTATTGCCTTGTCATTTACTTTATGTCGACCACTTCCGTCTGTCAAAGTCAATCAGCTTTTATTTGGACTGACTGTCTACTTTTTCGTAGCGGTTTGAACTGAGTGAATGCTTCATGCTTACAGACGGACGGACATGTCTGTCTGATTATTCCTCCACTTTGTGCATTGTCAAAGACCTGAATAGAATTATTCCTATATCAGAGAATTTGCCCCCATTCAAAGAATACAAGTGAAACTTTATTCTTCAATAAAGACTGAGATCAATTTTTTCAACTGAAAACCATGACTGAGCAAACAGCAAAGGCCACACGGATTAGGTTTAAATTGGTTTAGGCACATATTTATGTATGAGGGTTTAAAATATGACCAAGCACGCTCCTCATTTAATGGTGGCTATAGTCTTCAAAAAAGTTCAGCCTGGCACCAGAATACCTTATTAAAAAAAGCATTCCTACACAGATTTCTTACATTCTGATGCAGGAATGAAAAATTATTGTGTTGTTTAAATCAGCTACATTAATTTTAAAAGTCAATAAGTTTTAAGTGGAGTAACACACACCTTTGGTTTAACAATAATATTTCTGCTAACAAAGACAGAGATAGAGCTTTCAATAAACCACAGTATCTTGTTGACTGAGAATGCACCATTGGAAATGATGTGAAGCAGCATTTAAAGCCACAACGGCAAATCTGCAGAGCAAGCTAGCTTAAAACATTTTTTCATGTCTTTTACCAACGTTCTAATAAATATAGCTATTTATATTTTGTAGCAATGAAAAAAAAATAAACATTTAAAAAATGAAGTGGTTCTCTCGTATTTGTTTAAAAACCTTCACCAATAACGAGGCATGGTCCTAAATCAACCTTTGGACTATCTGCGTACCTGCGTCCATCACTCATTACACACTCGGTATTTAGCAGAACACCACTGGAGAGAGAGGTTCTCTGCTCAATAATGTCAGAGGAGAAATAGCCGGCTGCTACCACTTCACTTTAGGACAAAGTACCAGAGTCCCATGAAGAAAACCCCCATTTTAAGTCATGGACAAGGAAACACGTTTGGACCTAGAAAATGGTGGCTGGTGTTAGCACTATCTCATTTACTGTGGCAATGCGGGTTACGGTATCAGGTGAACTTGGATTAGGGATGACAGCCACCAGACCCACCAGAGAGGATTCTGGGTGATGCGCCACGAGACCTCACCCTTCCTTGCTGCTAAAAGAGATTCTATTGCAGCTGTGAGAGATTTTACTAAAATATAGTATGCTGGAGCCACCATCAGGGACATGAAGATACTTCAGCGTGTCGTGTGCTTTGCTGAGAAGGTAATTGGCTGCAAACTCTCCTCTATGCAGGACCTGTACACCTCCAGGACATTGAGGCATGCAGGTTGGATCACAGGAGGCCCGTCTCACCCTGGACTCAGTCTCTTCTACTCGCTCCCATCTGGCAGGAGGCGCCGATCCAATCAGACCAGAACCTCTCACCACAAAAACCGTTTTCTCCCTTCTGCGGTCGAACTCATGAATGTCAATCATAGAACTGCCCACTACAGCTGCTTTGTTCCAGTCACATGAACCTGTGTTGTGTTTGCACCTGAACTGATCCACTCTGAATGTCGCGAGCGTGCACTTTTATTGGTTCCGTTAGAACCTTAGAATACGCTGCGTTTTCAGGGAGGTTGAGGCCGCAGGTGAGTTTTATCGTACTGACCCTGGTTTGGACTCCCTAATTTAGAACTCGTTTTCTAGTTTAAGGTGAAATGAAAATTGTCTTACTTGTTCTTCTGTGATAACACACTTTCCTTTTAACTCTCCCGTTATTTAGTGGTTTTAAATACTAGGGCGAAAGTTCACGAGAGGCCATCTTCGTGACTATTATTTGGGTCCTATCAGGATTAATTTGCGCCTCTGTCAGCAAAGTGGGCGGTGGTAACTAGAAAATGATTCCTGTTAGTTGATCAGGCTAACATGGATTTATCAATTAATCTAATTAATCCACCCTTTGAAATGGTTCCTTCCCACGCTAAACAGAGACTTGTTCACACTTGCAGAACAGAGCCTGTTTGAACCATCGAACCATAATGACATATAATCCTTAGGGTGTCCCGCTACCGAGGAGGAGGGGAGACTTGCTCCCATTACCTAAGGTATCTTTTCTTAATCTGTCACAACCTGAAAACAAGTCCTGAAGCACAGGAACAAGCAATTCAAGGTGGCTTACCTCTCCTTTAGGTCTGGTCGGGGCTCCCAACTCAAAAGGCTAAGAGACCTTTAAGAATCGAGAACGAGGATTCTTTTTCCAAAAAATTTATTTCAAAACTAAAAAATACAAAAAAGGGTAAATATAAGATTAACCAATCCCCTTCAGAGGATGCTGTTACTAAAATCTCCCTGAGAATAACTGGTCGACTTGTGTCAACACTAACTGTTACACACTAACACTCACACACTCTAAGTCCAAGTCTAAGTTCTGTGTCTCGACGACCTCTTCTATCCCACCTCTACTCTCTACCTCTGCTCTGTCTCTCCACTGTCGACTCTCCCTCTAACTCTTCTAACTGCCCTTTAAATATCATTCTAGAAACTGCCAAGCAAAACATTTTTCATAGTGGAGCAATATCTCAACTAATCATGAGACAGCCTAAACAATGTAATCTTTTGCCAGTTACATACATCTTTTTATCACAAGACAGCAAAACAATGTGATTATTTGTCAGTTTCATATCTTAGTCAAACACAAGACAGCCAAACCCATGTGATGTCATATTTGTAAGCTGGTCTCCGTCTCCACCCAAAGTCCAGAACTTTCCACAGAGGACTTTTAATTTCCTGAGATGTTTCTTCAGTTGGCTTTCTTCGGTACCACCTCTTTTGCTTCCTGTTCAGTTGGACCACTCCTCTTTATCTTCTGCATCATTCTACTCGCACCAGCTAGCTCAAGCTTATCTCTGCTCACCTTCTGACCTCCTCCATTGTTTTTGACATGCGAGAGCTTGCAACATGACCAGTACCTACACTGAGTTGTATAAAGTAGCTGCTTCTCCAATTATTCCCTCCGTATGTTTGCCATGTCCCTGCTCCAGCCAAGCCTCTTTTCCCCAGCAACCACTACCTGCTCACCCTCAACCTCATCCAAACCTCCTGTCTCACATTAACTCCTCATCAGCTCATCATACGGACGGCTCTAAGGATCCTGATAGTGTTCGGGTGGTGGTGAGTTTGGTGGTCCTGCGCCTGTGCTTCAGCTTTGGTTGTCGGCTCCGGGACCATTGTTCTGTGTTCACGGCTGAGTTGATGGCTATCTTATGTGCCTTGCGTTGGGTGAAGGTGCGTGTCCTGGAGCATGCTGTTATCAGTTCTGACTCAGCAGCTGCGTTGGAGGCTCTGTTGGGGTCAGGTGCTGGCTCTAGGCTAGACCTGGTGATTTCTGCCAGGGTGATGCTGCATGATCTGTGGGCTTGTGGCTGTTAGGTTTGTTTTGTTTGGGTTCCTACCCATGTGGGGGTGGTGGTCAATGAGATGGTGGGCTCTGTGGCCAAGGCGGCGCTGAGGGATAGGCGCTGTTGTGGACCTGGAGGTTGCCATGGGCTCCCCTGAGCATTGTTCTGCGTTAGGCAGGGAGGCCATGAGATTGTGGCAGGCATCGTTGGATGGTGGGGTG